GTCTAGTATTCGAGTATTATTGAAATTGTACTGCAGGAATACATTTTCATTTAAAATTAATTCTAATAATGAGAAATAGCCAGTAAGGTAGATGTTTTGATGAAATCTCTTTTGTCTTTGTACACTTTTAATGCTAACGGTAAATAAAGAGAACGTATCGGTTCGAGTTCATTTCACAAGCGATTAAACATCGAACAATGAGAGAAAGAATGCGAACGACGCATACGGCTCGAAACCTTGAGATTGATAAGTAATCATTAATGCAAACGGGATATAGAGACATAGGATAATATACCTGAATTTCTTAGTCAATCAATTAAGCGAAATATTATTCCAAGTAACGGCAGGGTAATTTTGCAGTCAGTTAATAGAACAAGTGGACTTAGCAATTTTCCATAATTAGAAAAATTACAATGTAATACGAAAAGGCACTTGGTAAATTCTTTAGAGCGAGTTTAACGTTCGCATTTCATGAGATAATCTCAAGATATAGGCACTGTTTGCCTCTGGAAATTTTAAGCTCGAATTGTGCTTTCATCGTGCAAATTTCGAGGAAATAGAACTAAGCCAATCCTGTAATCCGTTGCCTAAATCGGATGAACTTAAACCAAATCTTCGTTACAGTAAAAGCTTCGTACTACCTGCGTGATAAATGCAATTTGCTTAAGCAAGATCAAGCGTCGCAATAAGCAAATGAAATAATGATACAAAAGGTACGCTGAAACAAACAGGAGATTCTCATACAAATTAAAGGCTGTAGACGAAATCGTATTATTGGAAAAAGTAAATTAGTCACCGCGTTATCAGGCGGGTCACGTCTCGTTTGCGCGTCGATCTCGTCGATCGGCAAGTGGGCCAACGGGAAATCGATGAACAAGTAGCGATGAGCATTCTTGCGGGCTCCAAGACTTTCAGAGTTTCAAAGCAGCGGAAAACAGGCTGAGGTAGAAGGTTGAACTCAGTTAACGAGGACCTTCTAACTATTACCTTACATTCGCGGAAGCTAGCATTGTTTCATTTATCTCAATAATAAATTTATCATTAAACTGCGAGTTCTTATTCAAGGTAAAACATTCACAACATTAGTTAATTAAATACATCTTATATTACAATGGGTACTCGACTCTTGCTAATTCCTAGATCTCTATACATTATAGAATAAAGTATATACAATCTTCATATATTAAACAATGATTTAAACATGCAAATTTTCATTAAAAATACTGCATAAACAATAAAATCGGATAAAAACAAAAAAACAGGAGAAAACGTATATATAAATCGCATGTAGATGACTACGAACGATTAACGGGCGCGCCTGTCAATTTCGTATCTGTAATTAATAATCTGGTGGGCTTATAAGCGGCTGGTCAGCTATCGGCGGTCATCGAAGGGAAGGTATAAACGAACAACGCGTTTAAAGGATCTGATAGATCGTTGATCCGCTCGGAAATGAACCGTTCAGCTTATGGAGGACGGGATGCGCGTTAATATGGGTCGTGTGCCTTGTAACTGATACGCGCGACGTCACCGAACGACGTGCATCGAACCGTTCTGAAACAACCCTCGCCCTCAAGAAGAGAGATGCTTCTAAAAGGCTAACCGCGTCTTT